CAGGAGTGAGGATGAGATACATTTTGCAACACATAAGGTTCAAAGGAGTTCCTCACTAGTAGGCCATCCCCAAAGCAGAGTCTGAAGAGCATGTTTCATTCAGAAAACAGTGATACCAGAGGAAAGGTCTGAGATGCAGGAGGAATTATGAGCAAAGAATGTGGAAAGATAAGGACAATAAAATGATGATAATGTTCTCATGGATTAGAGGAATGGGAAAGTACAAGCATCCAAATAATTCCACGTAAATCAAGGGGAGGAATGATCAGAGTTAAAGTGGTCTCACTTGCTGTTGTACAATAGAGGGTCAAGATACTGATCTCAACTTTACATGGTTTATACAGCTGCCAGAATGAACAGAGTAGCTACTTAACAAAAGTGATCTATAGATTCCAGGGAGTGTTAAGTTTTTTTTTTTTGTTTGTTTGTTTTTTGAAATTTGACAGAGTGATTCTAAAATTTATATGGAAGGAAAAAAAGAATTACTCTTATACTCTTAAAGAATGGGGATGGAAGTAGGGTGCTATGTGTGACTTGCCCTAACTAAATGACAAGAATCAGAATGGCAGTTATCAAGAATACAAGTAACAATAAGTGTTGGCGAGGATGTTAGGGAAAGGCACACTCATACATTGCTGCAAATGGTTGCAACCACTCTGGTAAAAAGTGTGGAGATTCCTCAGAAAACTTGGGATGGAACCACCATTTGACCACTTATCCCTCTCCTCAGCATATACCCAAAGGACTTAAAATCAGCATACTACAATGACACAGCCACATCAATATTTATAGCAGCTCAATTCACAATAGCTAAGCCATGAAACCAACCTAGGTGCCTTCCAACAGAGGAATAGATAAAGAAAATGTGGTATATATATACAATGGAATATTACTTAACCATGAGAAAGGATGAAATTATTACTTTTGCCAGTAAATGGATTTATTAGGAGACTATCATGCTAAGTGAAATAAGCCAATCCCCCAAAACCAAAGGTCAAATGTTTTCTTTGATATGCATATGCTAACACACAACAATTCAATGGGGAGGGGAAGAATAGAAGTTCAGTGGATTAGACAAAGGGAAATAAAGGGAAGGAGGGTGGATAGGAATAGGAAAGATAGTAGGAAAAAATTTTAAACTATAAATAAATAGAAAATCAAGTAGAAGGAAGGGAATGGAAAGGGGAAGTACTGGGGGCTGAATTAGAACAAATTATATTCCATGCTTGTATAATTATGTTAAAAACTGTATATTATGTATAACTAAGTGAACTATTAAAAAATTTAAAATTTTCAGAAAAGAATTATCAAGCTAAAATACTTGTATGGTGTTGGCATAAAATAGAGAAATCTAAAACTAATTCCTAAATGGAAGCAATGTAAGACTAAGAGGTGTTTCAGTCAGAGGAAGAACGGACATATTTTTCTATGAATAACGTTAGGACAATTAGTAATTGTATAGGAAAAAAATTAGATCTGAGCTTTACACTGAATATATAATCTCAGGTTGGATTAAAGATGTAAGTATGAAAAAGCAAAAAATATAAATCTTTTAGAAGACATTATAATACAGAATCTTTATGACCACAATATAAAGAAAGATTTCTTAAAATTACACCAAAAAGTGCAGACCGTAAAGGTAAAAATTGATAAATTCGACTTTATTAGAGTTAAGACCATCTAAGATACCACAAAGATACCATGGATTTAGTCTGTATCCATTAAGGTCACATTCCGAAATATTTAATAATGAATGATCTTGCATCTGCTTTGAAACTGTTCCAGAAAACAACGCAAAGAGAGAGGAAACCAGAAGGTAGACTGTTAGCCTGATGCAGTGGTGGGCACCCACCCAGAAGGCTGAGGCGGAGGACCAGGGTGGGAGGCCAGCCTAGGCAACAGGCCGGGACCCTTACAGCTAGATGGGAACAGGAAGTGTATTAAACTCTCTATTTTCTGTGTGTATAATTGAAATTGTATATTTTTTAAAATGTGGATTTTTTTTAAATTGACCATCATAGATTTATTGTAATGCCCAGATTGTTCAGAAGTGTAAACTTTTTTTTAAATATCATTTTCTAGCCAGGCACAGTGGCACACACCTGTAATCCCAGCTACTTAGAGAGGGAGGCAAGAGGATCACAAGTTCAGGGCCAACCTGGGCAACTTAACAAGACCCAGTCTCAAAATTTTAAAAATATGTTAAAAGGGCTCAGGAAGTAGCTTGAGGGTAGAGCCCTCCTAGGTTCAATCCCCAGTACCCCACACACAAAAAAAATTGTTTTCTGAAAAGACTGTTTGTTAAAGTATATATCTAAATGCAGTCTGAGTAGGAATTTCCTTACAAATTAATAAATCATAAAACAATTTTTTAAAATTAGGTGAAGACATTTGTAACACGTAGAACCAAAAGATCAGTGTCTAAATATTAAGCAAAGAACTCCTGCAAGTCAATAAGCAGTTCCTTAGATGTGGTAGCAAAAGCATTGTCAACAAGGTAAAAAAGACACAGCAGTCTGTGCTTCAAAGGGAGTGAAACAACAACACACAGACTGGGGGAAAATAGAACAAATCATGGATGTGACAGTCACGTACGTATGAACGTGGACTATACAGAGAACCTTGCCAATTCAATAATAAAAAGACAAAATTGTTTGAATAAGTAAAGGGATCTGAACAGACATTTATCCAAAGAAGATATAATGCCAACAAGCACATGGAAAGGTTCTCAATATTGTTAGCCACTAGGGAAATGCAAATCAAAACCACAGCAGAATATACTCTTACCCACTAGAATGACTAGAATCAAAAAGAGATGATAACAAATATAGGAGCTATAAAATGGTACTTTTGAAAAGTTGAGCATTTCTTCAGGTAGTTAAACATAGAGCTACCATATGACCAAGCAATTAATTTCATTCCTAGACTTATACTCAAAAGAAATGAAAACGTGTTCAAATAAAAACTTAAACATAATGTTTATTTATAGCAGCATAATTGATAATAGGTAAGAGGTAGAAACAACCCCAGTGTCCATAACTAGTGAATGGATATATAAAATGTAGCATATAAATACAATGGAATATTATTCGGCCATAAAAAGGAATAGAGTATGAATGTGTATCAAAGTGTGGAGGAACTTTAAAACATTATGTGATCCAGGCATGGTGGTGCATGCATGGTGCAGGCTGAGGATGGAGGACGACAAGTTCCAAGCAGCCTCAGCAACTTAGCGAAGCCCTAAGCAACTTAGCAAGACCCTGTCTCAAAATAAAAAATAGAAAGGGCTGGGGATGTGGTTCAGTGGTTAAGTGCCCCTGGATTCAATCCCTGGTACCCACCCCCCCAAAAATAACTATTATGAGAAAGAGAAAGATGGTAGTCACAAAAGACCGTGTGTTGTGTAATTCCATTTATTTAAGATGTCCAGAGTAGGCGAATTCTACACAGACAGAAAGTCGATTAGTGGTTTCCTAAGTCTGGAGCATGAGAAGTAGAGGGGTGATGGCTAAGGGATACGGGGTGTCTTTGGAGGGTAATGAAAACGTTCTGAACTTGTGATAAAGGTGCGACTCTAAACATAGTAGAAGCTGTGGAATTGTACACCTTAGATGAGCACATTGTATGATATGTGAATTCTCCCAATAAAGCTGCTTTTAAAAAGCAATAATAACTTAACAGGAAAATAAACAAGGCAACTCCAGGCATGTCACGGAGGAAACACGAATGTCACGGAGGAGACACACATGCCCAGGAGACACTTGAAAAGAGGCTCGGCCTCCTTCCTAGCAGGAAAACGCCAGCTAAACACAGTGAGATGCGAAAAACTCATTTTTTCTTTCTATCTAAACTCATTTGAGTCACCAAAAACTGTAAACTGAGCAGGGCCTTTTCTCTACCTGTAAGGGATGCAGAGAAAGTGAGGGAAGCCCAGTCCCTGTCGCAGAGAGCGTGGACTGTCATTTAGAGAGGTGAAGAAGCAAGGTGGATGACCTTGCATTCCTCTCCTCTGTAAACCCAGAGCTGTGCCCAGGGGCTCCAGGGGCGTACTGGGCCACGGAGACAGAGCCACAGGAGCACTGTAAACCCAAACCACTAAGAACCCCACCAACGTTACCTAGGGACACGTGGGCGTGGTGATCAAACACTGTTAAAGACAAGGGAAGGATAGTCGGAATGGGAAAGACCGGAGCGGGTCTAGCAGGAATGCTGAGGAGGAATCTCCGTTTCCTTAAACTTGGTGGTGGGGACACATGGGGAGGCAGGCACGGGGGTAGAACACACAGCATTATCTGACAGGCTGACGTTGAGGAAAGATTTTGAAAATCTCAAAACACACGGAATCATACAGTTTTCCATGCAGCTCAAAATGCTAACGCTGACTCTGAGATTCTAGAAAAGATGAACATATTTGAGAATCAAGGGCTTTGTTTATGGATGGCTTGAAACAGGGTCTCACTGTCTTGCCCAGGCTTTGGGCCTGGTGGTGAGCTCCTGTAGTCCCAGCTACTTGGGAGGCTGAGTCAGGAGGATCACTTGAACCCAGCAGTTCTAGACTAGCATGGGCAACATAATGAGGCCTGGACTCTTTTATTTATTTGTTTGTTTGTTTGTTTATTTTAATTGTAGGTTTATTTATTTTAGATGCAGATGGACAGTATCTTTCTTTATTTTGATGTGGTGCTAAGAATAGAACCCAGTGCCTCACAAGTGCTCTGCCACTGAGTCACACCTCCAGCCGCGTGGAGTCTTAAAAATAAATAGATAAGCTAAAATACAGTTTTTTACAAGAGAAAGAAAAACACAAAACCAAGAAGACTATCAAAAAAGCAGCAGCAAATCAAATGTTTTAGGAAGGTTTCCAGCAAAAGTGGTTAAAACAAGAGTTTTGTTCTTCCAGGGGAACATTCGGGCGGCAGTTCTTTAGGAAAACCATCCATTGCTGGGAAGCCATGAGCCGCTCTCTCCCGGTCACTCAGTGGTTGGCATTCTCTTTCCAGATCCTGCTCACACTAACAGATGAACCGCGAATGCACAGAGGAAGAACCTGTCCACTGCTCCTGGGCGCGTGACTGAGGGTGAAGCATCCGCCAGTGCTGCCAGGGGTCCATAGTATTTTTTTGCTGCCTCAGAGTCCCCAAGGCCTTCAAGCAGAAGTGGCAGTAGATGGTGGCCATCAGCCAAGCGAGACACTGACTGGGACAACAGGAGAACAGAACCTCTGGGTTTGGGTGGAACTTGGCAGTGGGGACGTTCAACTGAGGCCTTCTCTACTCGTCCGAGCACACGTGTGTCTTCACCTTCCCTCACCCCCCCCAGCCTGCTCAGGTCTCCTCTGTCCCTTTCCTGCTGCCACACAGAGATGATATAAAAGAGGCTCTTTGGCTATTCGCATCTTGCTTCCTCTTCTTTTCCAGGTTGCAGTATTGAGCTCTGTTTGCTTTGTACAAGCTTAAAGCCCTAATAGCAGTACCTACCAGAGTTGTTCTGCCCTTTTGGGGCTCCTGGGGAAGGGAGCGCACATCACCCGTTTCCCAGAGCGTGGAGGCAAGTTGGCCCGCCGCTGACATGAGCCAGGGTAAAGGCACCCTTTGGAATTACTGATTTCTAAGATTAATAAAGTAATTCTATTTTTTTTCTTTTCTTTTTTTTTTTTTTATTTACTAATTCCCAACAATCAGTATTCACAATCAAGACTGAAATAGAACCAACTTCTCATTTCATTCCATTGCTGGACAATTTTTTCAATTTCATGTTAGAAACGGAAGCTTTCAAGAACTTGTGTTTCAGCAGATGATGGGTCAGGCTGTTCCCCAGGGCAGCACCTGGGAAGCCCTGTGTACAGATTCTCCACAGCCAGGCTGCAGCTGGAGGCTCACCCCTGTGGTCCTCTAGTGGCATGTGACTCTGTCCAGTTGCCCTTCACCTCCCTCAAAGTCCATGTGGACAGAGCAGCTCTGCCTGGACCACGCGGCACTTGGCCTCTGCTGTCCTTCCCTAGGTCCTCACTCTGGCTTCTGCTGGAGAACAGGCTGAGAACCGGGCCACAGGCTTGACCTAGCTGTCCTGGGGAGTTACTTTAGAATCCAGAATCTGGGCCTTCTACAACAAGGTCCTATAAGCTCAGCATTGAAATCCAAAGAGAAAGTGACATACAGAGATTAAAAGGGACTTTATTGACTTCTCGGGGACTGAAAAAAAAAAAGGTTTGGGCACATTGAAGCACTGTGCCTGTGCAGGTTGAGGTCTCATTCCACATGTTCCCGGGACTCCTGGATCATGGTTTGAGAACCATCATAACTCTGCTCACTTGTTTGGGAGTTGGTTAAGAGACAAATTAGAATTCCTCCCTCCATAATCTCCTGCTGATATATAGAGTTGGGAAATAAGGGATTTGGAGAAACTCACCAAATGAATCTTGTGGAAAGGGGTAAGAGGGTATGAGTCTAATAAAAGAACTTTGAAAGCAACTGTGATACTGGGAATTGGCTACATAACTAATCAGACTTAAATGCTCAAATTAATATCTTTCTTCATTCGCTGTGTGTTGACCAGGTGCTAAGACCAGATTCCTGACCTCCCTTCCTGTACCCATGTCCCCTCATTTTTATTGGTAACAAACCAGATTATTGAAGCCTTCTTCCAATAGAGGTATCTTTGTGTGTGTGTGTGTGTGTGTGTGTGTGTGTGTGTGGTGGTGGTGCTGGGGATTGAACCCAGGGCCTTGTGCTTGCAAGGCAAGCACTCTGCCAACTGAGCTATATCCCCAATCCTAGGTATCATTTTTCAATGTCACTGTACCCTTCCCCAAAACTAGCATGTATTTTTGGAGACATTGATCCCAGTGTCTGTAGTGCCTGTAAGTGATAATGTGGAAAGGGGAGGCTGGACACTAGACTCTGCTCATATCCCTATCAGCTGCTTAATGGAGGAGTAGCTTTCTGACAAAGAATATTTGGGCTGGGTGCAGTGGTGCTCTCCTATAATCCCAGCTACTTGGGAAGCTGAAGCAGGAGGATCTCAAGTCCAAGGCCAGCCTCAACAACTTAGCAAGACCCCGTCTTAAAATAAAAAGGGCCAGGGATATAATTCAGTGGTAAAGTGCCCCTGGATTCAATCCCTAGTACCAAGAAAAAGAAAAGAAAAGAAAACATTTGGAATTGCAGTGTGTTCTGTTTTCTTTGGGATACTTCAGGAAACACATCTAGTTGTGTTGGTTCATTAGGATGGACCACCAGCTGTGCTAATGGTTTTCTATGAGGTTGGATTAAAACAGAGATTTAGTCTAAGGTCAAAAAGGTTATTTGCTTCTTATTGAAATCCCAAATAAGGCCCAGTAATGTCGGATATAACACACCACTTTTCAGAATGCAGTTCCTAGGCATCCTGAACCCTGCCCCATTCATAAAGCCAGCTCTTGAGCTGCAGCCTGGAATTGTACATTTTCCCTAAACACAAAGGTGATTCTCAGGCTCACTGAAATTTGAGAATGGCAGCCACAAGTGAATGCACTGTGACATTTGGGATAATACCAGCTACAGCTGGCCTCCTCGACCACCCTCTCTACCCCACTGGCTCCAAAGGTAAGATGGAGCTCGCTCCCACATCAGGATTTAGGGCAGGGACACATTATAGCCCCTCTGAAGGACAGTGAAAGACACAGGATGAAGACAGAGAGAAGCCTGGAGAATTGGCTGGGCACACATGGAGCCAGAAAAGAACTCCTGGTGACCAAAGTCGGAGGAGCAGAAAGGCAGAGGCCTGTACCCACAAACCACCTGAGCCTATGGTGTGTATCCTTCAACACGCAAACTGTGCTTCAGAGAGACTGTTCCAAGTGCTAAGGTGAGCTCACCGGGCGCAGGTGGTTTTTAGGAGCTGCTAGGTGGTTCCTCACTCTGCACACTCACAGGGTGGACGCCAGTGCCATAGCCGAATTCTGCCTTGCTCTGGGATCTGTGACCTCAAAAGAGCACTAGTGGTTCTTTTCCCAAAGTCCTAACAAGAGGCCCCTAGTCTGAAAGGGCTCCTGGTTGGCTCCTTTAGACAACCCAATAACAGAATTAGCCTCATTCTTAGGCCATTGATCACAGACGGTTTCTCTCATGTTCAGCTGATCTGGGGGGCTGAGATGTGATTTCCAAAAATGCTGATGTTGGTCATTTAGATTGAATGTAGAAGCCACATTTCCATATGCAAGGGTTCACATTGCCAGTGATGTGGACGTCAAATTCTAGGCTTTCTGCGAATCTGAGCTACTGCCTGTGTGTATCTGAGAATAACATACTGTGCAAGGAGGGACACACGGACAACAATGCCATTTTCTCAGGTGACAGGAGGCAGCACAGTCCCTCTGTCCAGCAGATTCATGCTAAGCGATATATTTAATGCTTGAGAGATTCTCTGCCCAGATTCCAGTTACCACTAATTAGAAGAGGCTGACATAGAATTAAGAAAATGGTCATTAAGGATATGAATGGAGTGAGACATATACCTCAGAATAAGGCTTTTACTGTTCTAGAAACAATCTTCCAGAAGATGAAATCATCCACAATTCCCCAAAAATATTTATTCATACAAAGATTTTGAGAGTAATATTTGTACTTGTCTTTATACCTCAGACAACTCATCTTGGGCCAAGTCACCACATGGCACATGTGGTGCAGCCTCCCCAGATGCCTCCCGTGTGGCAACAGCTTCCAGGAAGACCAGGTGGACACAAGGTCTCGAGAACTTGGAGGAGAGGAACCCCTCATGCTCAGAGGCTGCACAGAACCAGAATCCAGATATGTGCACCCTGGCCTGGAAGGTGTCCAACCAAATGTCCAAGGGGAAATGTGATTGAGGATGAAGGCAAGAGGAGGGACCCAGAGGGCAGACAGGAAAGGGTCAGTTCCCACCCTTTGCTTCTGAGTTCAGCATCTCCAGGGGCCAATACAGTTGCTGGCCAAGGAACCATATTACATTACCTGGAATGACCCATGATGCTGACTGTGGAAACGACAATTAAAAAAGAAATTGTCCTTAATCCCAGGTAGTACAGGTGCAATTCTGGGACTCTGTCTTGGTGACCTGTCTGAAGGAAAGTGCTTGCCTCATATGACACCATCCAGATTCCCCTAGAGCGATTGTGGTACAGCAATGAGCAAAGCTGACCTCAGATCCGAAGCGTCTTCCAGTCTGAGCCTGACCCAGCCATCCTTTGTCCTTCCTCCTCCCTATTGTACCCAAGTCCCATTGCCACATGACATGTCAACTTGCCATCCTCTTCCTCTAGCCCCACCACCTCTGTCTGCACCACAGAAAACCTGTGTCCCCAAGAGTTCGCCTTCCCCTAACCACCCCACACTTTCTTTACCACAGTGATTCTCAGAGCCAGCAAGAAAGAAATGTTCCAGAAGGAAGCCTCCGTCTTGGCCAAATGCCAGGAGCCGAGGGTTGTGGACGCCAGGCCTCTAGGTGAGGTCTGTCACTTTGGTTTCCCGAGGCGCGGGCAGTCGGGCAGGGGCAGCTCTCCCTCATCTGTCGCAGGCCTCAGCTACACTTACACGACTTCACCACCATGTTGGAGAGCTGCTCCACCTTGGGGGTCCTCCCGACATAGTACAGAATGGTCAGGGGCTCCAAGTCCTGGGGCACACAGCAAGGTGAGGCCGATGCTTCTGGGTTCAGGGTGTTGTACAGCCCCAGCACCTGGAGTTTGGGGAAACAGCATTTAGAGGTGGGAGAGCCACGCCCCAGGCCTGCAGCCCAGGAAACTCTACAAGCTCTCAAAGACAGGGCAAGTGGTAGAACAGCCATTGATGATGCTACGTAATAGGACTAGTGGGAACAGTTTGGATGACTAGTTGTGGCCATCCCCAAAGGCAGAATGCAGAACATGCACTGTTTGAGGGTTATCAGTTTAAGCATATCACAGTTATCAGAGGACTTTCAATGAATAAGGAAAGTCTTTTGGCTGGTAAGAAAATACTCCTATACTGGTCTTCCTTACTATAAAGAATCACTCTGGTGGAAAATGGTCTCGCTGATGACTGCAGGGGCCATTTAGGAAGTGCCAGGGTGCGGGGGCCCCCACACAGGATGCAGGCTAATGAGCTATAGGGAAACGTGCTTTGTGAAGACTGCCCTATTTTAATTCCCCTTGAGGAAAGACATGCTGCAGAGGTGTGAACTCTTTTGCTCACTTTCTCTTCCTGGAGTTTCAGGGCTGCTTCAGAATATGCTTTACATTGTCTCTCAGAACTATGTTTGCACATTCGAGAGACTGCAGCTGTCAGAGTTCTTTGGTAGTGGTGACATTTCTTCCCCAACATTCCCTGCCAACCATGTACACACATCTCTGACATATAATTAACTTCTCTGGTACAAAAGCTTTAGACAAAGCAAATACAAAGTCTGGTTGAAACTATGGTAAGGACTTTTTGTTTTTGAAGCTGAGATCCAACCCAGGCCCTTATACTCACTTGCACTCTCCCACAGAGCTATGTCCCTCCAGCACCTGTGGAAGGATTCTTCCTTTCTAATAGTAGATATTGAACCCAGAGTGCTCTACCACTGAGCTACATTCCCCAGCCCTTTTTAGTTTTTATTTTGAAACAGGGTCCTGCTAAGTTGCCAAGGCTGGCCTTGATTGCGATCCTCATGCCTTAACCTCCAGAGTTGTTGGGATTACAGGCATGCACCACCACACCAGGCTCTGGGGGGAATTTTAAAAGGCAGGATGTGATCAAGTAGAATTAGGCCAGGGTACAAGGTCAGAACCTTTAATGAAGAGATTTTACTCACCCCAAATTATCATCTGCTCATTTAACATTCAATCATTCATTTGTTTTAACAAGTGGCCTGGTCAGCTCAGCCCCAGTGCCCAGATGGCCCGTGCCCTGCTCCCTACCGTGCTGTGGGTCGTGTCTGCACTTCGGAGATAAGGACAAGGGCCTGAGCAAAAGTTGGCATAGTAGCCCTTAGGTTCGTGGACCCACTTCCAGCCCAGGTCCTGTCGGAAGTCAATGTAGAGGGGCCGCACACAGCAGTTCTCCTCCAAGTTGCTACAACAGAAAACATTAAACAGAAGATCAACCTAAATGGAAGCCACCAATAAGAGAAACTTCACAGATGCCTTCATATTTCCCCCTGGCATCCTTCCATGCTACCACTGAAGGTGGGCCTTCAACAGAATCCCTCACACAAGCACATGGTATAGAAGAGACCAGGAGGTGTCTCCCTGTGTTGAGCAGCAGGATCTCAGCCATGCAATAGGTAGATATAAATACCACAGAAGGAAAAGTGAAGAGCTAAAAGTGACCCTGTCCCCTTTTACATCACACATCAAAACAGACATAAACTGTCCCACACACGACCGAGCCCTCACTTTACGTTATCAGCCGTGTCCGCTTTGTTGGGGACAGCTTATCATGACCCTTCTGTTGCACACCCAGCCAGAAAGAAGCTCACAGATTATGCAGCTTGTATCCTACTAGAGATGACTGCTCAGACTAAATCTTGAGGCCATTTAGCCAAAATAAGGTACAGCCTCCTATTAGAATCATGATCCCCAGGTCCCACAAATGTGAGTGACGGGCCCCTCCGATTTGGTTGCCTGCAGAAATCCACTTGGTAGGACTCCTTGTCACATGGGCATTAAGACTCACTTTAACGGGTCTCTTCTGCGACTTAGAACTTGGTACTTCCACAGGCCTCTCGGGCCGCCATTGGACAAAGTCTGGCTTCTGGAGGGTTCCAAGGTTGAACCATGGCAGAAACTACTGGTTATCTATGCAATCAACATCCCTAGTGCCCTCTCCCTTGCCACCTCCCATTATGGAGTCTGGAACACCAGATACTCGTTTTCCTAGCCTCCCTAGCAGGTAGGGATGGATGGTCCTGTGGTCCAGTAATGGCCAGCCACAGGAATAAGAAGTGTGCAGGGGTTCGTGAAAGCAAGTTCTGGGCAAAGACATCTGGTTATAAAAGTAACAGAAGGAAAAGGAAAGCTGCTGGCTCCTCTCCGTCTCCCCTTCTCCTTGCCCTAAACAGGGGCAAGATACCTGAAGACCCAGCAATCCCTTGCGGCCATAGGCAAGAGGATGAAGCGCCACTGTACCACGTAGGGCGGGCCAGAAGACAGGAAAGCCACGTCCTGAATGGTGTAATTAAGCAGCCCTCCGCCTGCTTTCAGACAGGTGGTGACAGCCACCCTGCCTTTCCCACAGCCTCTGTTCCCAAGCCCAACGTCCCTATTTACCCAGTTGTTTTTCACAAGACACAGTTTCCACATCAAAGATTCCTCCAGTCCATTCCTCCCACTCCATTCAGGAATCTTCTCCAGTCAGACTGACCCCATCCTGCTCCTGCCCGATCCCCACATGCCCAGATCCCTCCCATCCCAAAGGCAAGCTCAGATTCCACACCCTTCTGAAGCCTTTCCTGTATCCATGTGTGAACTCCTTGCTCCCAATTGCTAAAGTCCTTTATCCTTCAGACCCTCTCCTGATGTGAACTTTTTCTGCCTTTTAATATTTAGTCTGCAGGCTTTATCCACCTCCCTCCTACAGCAGTTCCATGCTCCCGAAGAAGGGGGAAACCTACATCTTTCCCATCTCTGCATGGGAGCTCCCCAATTATTTCAGAATCTGTAGATTTCTCTAGATCAGATTTCTCCTATAAATGGACACTATTTTCCCCCCACCCAGTAGCTCGCCAGGAGCCTGCCCAGGGAACTGAGCACGTCTTCACTGGAAACCCCTGCCTTAATCTCTCCCACACAAACACACCCTGCAAATACTTAAAACTCAAAACCACAGAGGCTTCCGCCAAGTGTTCCCAGTCCAAACTATTCTCACAACACTGTCCTCCTTGAAGTTTCCCTCTTTTACTGCATCTGGACCCTTACAGAGTCGGGCTGCAGAAAAACAGTGAGGCTCCCAGGAAAAACAGGAAGATTTTTGTGAGCGATTTCCAGTCTTCTTTCCTGGAGATATTTGCGAACATCATCCTAGACCCTGGGCGAGTGAGGCTCAGGTGGGGGCCTGTGCCCAGGGCGCAGATCTAGGTCTGCGTGGGGCCCAGGCTCACCGGAAGCAATAGTTGGTGTCCAGGGCCCGCTTCTTCCTTTGGCCTCCCTGGCCTGGGTTGTCGAGCCGGTGCGGGGGAATCATCATGAGGATCAGGTGAGGGTTGTGGTGATCCTTCTGCTTCTTGAGGCGCCCCAGGTCTCCACGGCCATGGTCATCCTCATTGTCCACACCTGCAGAAGGGAGAGAAGGTGACAATCTCCAGTCTAAGGAAAGCAGAGCCCTTGGAGGCTGCTTCCTCATCCTAGCCCATCTCTGCCCAGGAAGAAGGGCAGGGCTGTCTGCTGGGAAGGACATTCTAATGTCTAACATTCTAATGTCCCGCCATAGGACAGGGATGACTCGGGGGAGGAACTGGTATCAAAAGTTCCCAATGTAAGGATGCCACTGCAACAGGCCACGTTCACTCCATACAAGGGTCTTCCAAAGGGGACGGGATGCTTCCTGGGAGTCTTCATGGATCCACGAAGCATCCTTATTCCCAGGCGGGTACTAACACAGGTTGTCAGTTTAGATTCTGAGACTTAGAATCTTGGGGAATGAGTTTCCTCTTCCAATCTAAATTGGTTAATCCAAGGTGTCACAATTTAGGTAGGCTGAATGGAAGCCCAAGAAACAATTTGGATTGTGAACATTCACATTGTGCTTGTAGTTCTGGGAGTGTTTGCATTTTGCACTTGTAAAACTCAGGTGAGATAATAAAGCCCAGGATAAAGAGCTTATCAAACAAGCTCTGGGAAGAAAGCCCGAGTCCATCAGAGCGTGTTTCATCTAAAAAGGAAAACACTGAAAACTGACTGGAGATCTAGTTTGCAAAGAACAGCTGTCAGCCAGGGCAGAAACTCAAGAGGTCTTATCTCCATCAGGAGGGGCCTGGATCTCAGGAAGGGGCACTTGGTTTATAAGATAAATGGGAGACCTGGATCTCAAATTCCCTTTATGAAAAGCCTGATGAACAAGGTACGTGTCTGTGGCAGTGGGAAGGTTTCAGCCTGACCTGGCCTGGAGGGGAGACTCTGAAGGGCTGAGCTCTGAGGTTCTGAGATGAAGTTGACAAATCCCTGGCTTTAATTTTTTTTTTTTAAAAGGGCTTTGAAATGGAGGCCATGCAGGTAAAGAGGACCACTTGGGTCCAGGAGCCAAGAGAAGCTTCTCTGACCACAGGGGTCTCTCCATTACCCAAAATAGGAGTACAGGAGGAAAAGTACCTCCCTGCGCTCCACAGACTAACAAGGCCAAGTTCCTGGTCTACATACTGTAGACCCAGAAGTGACTCTCAGCTACATCCTGACCTCTACACAAACACCAGTGGTCAAATACCCTGAGCCCTGAAGCAATCATTCAAACCTACGTGCCTCCTGGGCAAGGATCAGGTGGGCCACAGTGTCTGGAAAGCTCAGGAGGAGGGCACTCATGTTCAGAGCCACCAAAGTTAATTTCTTTAGGAAATTTGTGGAGCCTACCTGGCCCTGGGTTTCACATTCCGCATCTCCTTTAACTACCAAAGAGGCAGCCTCGAGCCCTTAACAATAGGCTCCGAGGAAATGAACAGTGGCCTGCGTGCCTTCTCCACTCTCCCCAGCATCCTGTGGTCTTTCAGAGGCTGATGTGTTCTCCCTCCCATGACAGTCACCCTCATGGCTTTGGGGGCAAAGCAGAATTACTCAAGTGAAAAACCGTTGGCCATCTCTGAGAAGGAGACTGCTTCTTTTTCTTGGGGTCTGGTAGGCATCTCCCGTTCCATTACCCTCCCCAGCCTACTACACACATTTACCTTTGAATTTGATTTCCATCACCTCGTGAATGTTTTCCAGGATATCTCCATTGGGCTGAAAGGTGTGGCATGGACAGTGAATGCTGATCTCCAGACCCAAGTTGGACTCTGTAAAATAAGACATGGCACTGGTGAGAAAGCACTTTGCATGATGGGAAGGTCTGCCCACCCCCCTGCAAGGTGGGGCCAGGGCCTCTGCTCCCATAGCACTCACAGGAACGGAGTTATAGGAAGGGTCACAGGAGACTGGAAGTCCTTCCAAAGCCCAGAGTGGAGCCCTACACACGTTTCCACGTTCCACATACTTCTGTTACACAATGAACCACCAAACAGAGGCGTAAACAGTGGGCACCACGAAGGAGAGAGGTAATAACCATCCATTTTCAAAGGATGGCATTAAGGGAAAATTGTAGCTTATCTACTCAGGGGCAAAAGGACAAGTATAGAGGAAGGAAAGAAAAAGCACCACCTCAGTGGTGGGAGAGGAGATACTTAAGCTAACCTGCTGAAAACAGATGAAAGGAAGGGACAGGCACAGGAAGGGACTAGGGAGTAATTGAAGAGCTTCAGAGCAGAGAGACAGTGATCCAGTTCCATTCAAAGGGCCTCAGGAGGAAGCCTGAGCCACAGGATTAAAAGTCGGGAATCCATGCTAGAGGCAGGTCCCCTGCAAATGAGATGCAGAGTCAGTCCAAATGGAAGGTGCCAGCTCTTCCACTGGAGCTGCGGTTGCGGGTGTAGAGGAAGTGGTAGATTCCAGAGAAGATGAAAATCCAAGTCACACCTGGCCATATTTTCCCTACAGAACAAGGCCATAATGAGGTGAAAAAATAACTTGGGTTATTTTTTACCTCATTATGGGTGTTTCTTCCTTGAAGTTCCTGGTTCCCATGATGGGAAAGTTGGGGCTGTGGATGGCTTACCAAGATGAACAGCTGGGGAAGATGGTTGTGAAATTAGAGAACAAACCAGAGGCAATGACGGTGGGCCACGGCCAAAGGTCCAGATGACGGGTCTCAGAGAGAATGAGCATGAGGCAGCCCAGAGGTGCCAGAGTTTGGTGACAGACTTTCTAGCACTAGGCCAACTCTGATTCTTTCTCAGGTTGGTTGTGGGATCATCTCATCTGTTTGGGCAACCAGAATCAAGGAAGCAGGGCAGTTAGTAAGTGAGGATGAGTGGAGTAGAAGGAAAAAAAGAAGTGAATGGAAAGTCTGAATAGGGCAGGGGCTGCAGCTCAGTGGTAGAGCATTTGCCTACCACTGAGCCTGTGTGAGGCCCTGGGTTCAATCCTCAGTATCACAAAAGAAAAACAAAAAGTTTGAATGATCAAGTAGTTTTGTGCAGGTCTGATCTGGCATCGCATCCATCTGGGTGAGTGAGACTCAATTAGGGACGCTCTGTTGAACCTGGGTGGCAGCCAGTTGTTGCCAGGTATAGGAAAGATCCTGAGGAATGGGGCCTTCTGGGTTCAGGGTTAGCATCTCAGTGAGCTAATTGATTTCCTGGAGTCCAGTGTGGCCTCGCACCCTTCTCATGGGCAGAACGGTACAAGCTCAGTAACTCGCAGGCATTCTGTGGGCCTGGGCATCCTAGACCTACGGGTAAAAAAACAGACCGTTTCTCCTATAAACTCCAGAGGCTAGCTAGAATTGTTCTATTCCAAATCAGGGCTACCTCTGGGACACACTGACACCTGCTAAGTTTGAAGATCTCCGTTCCAGAAAGTTAGCTTAGAGGGGTGTTATAATTTGGATATGAGGTGTCCCCCAAAAGCTCACGTGTGAGACAATACAAGAAGGTTTGGAGCAGAAATGATTGGGCTGTGAGAGTCTTAACCTAATCAGTGAATTGATCCCTGATGGGATTAACTGAGTGGTGTCTGGAGGAGGGTGGGGTGTGGCTGGAGGATGTGGTTCACTGGGGGCGTGGCCAAGGGGTATATATTTGTATCAGGGGAGTGGAGTCTATCTCTCTGCCTTCTGATCACCATATGAGCTGCTTCCCTCTGTCACACTCTTCTGCCATGATGGGCTGCCTCACAGGAGCCCTGAGGAATGGAGCCGGCCTTCTGTGGACTAAAATCGCTGAAACCGTGAGCCCTCAAATAAACTTTTCCTCCTTTAAAATTGTTTCAGTCAGATCCTTTAGTGACAGCAGCAAACTACCTGAGTAAAACAAGTGGAGAGGAGGACCACTCTATCAAGGAGCAGAGAGAAACTCAGCAAGAGAGGAAGTGAATACAGAGGGAAGCAAAGGAGTGCCCTCTCCCTGGAAGAGGAGGCCGGAGGAGTTAAAATTTGCTACCTATCAATACACGTACTTCCTGCTCGAGGTGGTCTAAGGTGGGTGAGTTCTACAAGTCTGTAAGTTATGAAGCCAGTGTGCATACAGATGTGTTGGGGACAGTCGGGGTTGGGGGACAGGTCGTCAGCACAAGACAGTGGCTTGGCTTGGCCAACAGGCTCTATCTAGGTAAAGGGCTCAGAGCAGATAACCACCACCACCATTTTTTAACATTACACATATATGAAACACTGCTCTAAGACTATACAAGCATTGACTCATTTTATCTCTATAATAGTCCTGATAATCCTAGGAAGAGAAATTATTGTTCCTCATTGTACAGATAAGGATACCAAGGCTTAAGGAAATTCAATAGCTTGCCCAAAGTATCCAACCATAAGTGGTAGTTCCAGGTTTTAAACAAAGCCTGAGTGTTCTGATGCCCAGATCCCACACTCCTAATTGTTAGAGACAGGAAGGGAGAAAAGCAGGCAGCAGAGAGCACAGAGGAACGTGTCCACACATTCACCGAGATGCCAAATGACTGTGCTTGTTGGTGTTCCACCTGTCCTGAGCCATGATGCTGAGAGTGCTCTCTGCCCAGCCTCCTAGGGGCAGCCTGGCTCCAAAACTGAGAAGCTGCAGATTATATGAGTAACAACCCAGGAAATGAGGACCTGGGCCCTGCCTGCATCCTGGATTGGGCTCCAACCAGTTCTGGGACCCAGAACACAGTCTGGACAGCTGGTAGGCTCTCAGATGCTTGCCAAATCAATCCAAAGACACAGGTGTGACCCAGTTCCTCATCAATGCATACTACCAACTGTCCAACCATTTGCAGCCTGGTTTGGGGCCATGAACTCTGAAGAGATTCATGAGCTCCAAATAAGCAAAACCCTCTGCTGATTCCCCTGTGGGAGGAGAGGGCTGGGCAGATTCTGTCTAAGTAGGAACTGAAGGTTCTAATGAAGAACTAACCTCAGAATTGGCAGCAGTGGAGTGGTGGGTGAGGGACCCATAGGTTTTATTATGAAATGATCTTTTCTGATGTCTCACAGAAGATGGAAATCATTCTCAATGCACACTTCTCATTGAATTCTGCAGCTGTGAAAATAAGAACTCCAAGTGCCCAGGGCTTCAAAGAAATCCAGGTGGCGCAGATCGAGATCAGACAAGGAGGCTAAGAGATTTAATTTCCCCAGCCCCTCCTTTTTGTAGCCAAGCAGGCTCTGGGCTCTGAGCAGAGCGCTGTCTGAGTCAGAATTCCCAACAGTGAGTACTGCAGTCAGCAGAGCACGTGGGTTCTTCCAGGCCTTGCCTTCATGCTTGGTAGGAGGGACAGGGACAGGATCTCCAACCCACCATCTGCCAATTCAGCCACCAAAACAAGGCCCCTTAGATGGAGGATTGCCAACTCAGATGCCTGCAGAGCCCAGGCAGGTCACACGAGGAAGCCAGCCATGCCAGTAGATGGTGTGGAGTAGAACCGCCAGCCTCACTGTTGGGGAACACGAGTGTGGGGACAGAAGGATGCACACCCCACCCCCAGGGGAGGCCACAACTCATCTCTGGTGGATTGTTACCAGGAAGACTTTCAATTTTTCAAAAGAAAGGCAGAAATGAATGCTTTATATGAAATCTCCTAACTTAAAACTTAAAACAATATGGTGGCCAAGCAGTTTCAGACCTCTGCCTTTGAGCTTTAATCCCTAGATTCCTAAAACACCACAGGCACAGGAGGATCCACCTGTCTCAGGGACTCTGGCCATCAACATGTGGATTGTGGCTTTATAGCAGCTAAGAATAGTGGAAAACTCACCAGAAGAGGGAGAGAAGGAGCAGATGGGACTGCCACATGTGACCTCTGCCCACTGAACAGTCAAACCAAGAGTACCAGCCAAGTCAGGGGAGAGCACAGCAGGTGTCAAGAGACACGTGAGTTCTAATCCAGGCTGGATGACTTAACTTCTCTGGACCTCGCTTTCCTTACTGGACACAATAAAAGCTTGTAAAACATGTTGAAAACCATGAAGTTCTCTCAAATACGTTCGATCCTTCAAACATCTTTGTGAGGCCGGGTGCAATGGTGCAAGCCTGTAATCCCAACGGCTCGGGAGGCCAAGACAGGAGGATAGAGAGTTCAAAGCCAGCCTCAGCAATTTAGCAAGACCCGAAGCAACTTAGTGTGACCCTGACTCAAAATAAAACAAAAGGGCTGAGGATGTGGCTCAATGATTAACCACCCCTGGATTCAATCCCTGGTATCAAAAAACAAACATCTCTGTGAGGCATGCAGGGAAGGTGACGGTGAGTGGGTAAGAGATTTGGGACACGTGAGGTTTGATAGACCTATTGGATGGTGCTGGATGATGTGTCCCCAACCAACATTTCCACGGAGGGTTTTGACTCTCAGGCCTTTCAAACTTAATTGGCCAAAACACGACTCGCCCCCAAACCTGCTCTTCTTCCAATCCAATTCCTATTCCAATACATGATAGCTCAGTCCAAAAATCTAGAAGTCAAATGCAACTGCTCCTGTGTCCTCATAGCCTGCCCCATTGGCTCTATCTTCAAAATATGGAACAAATTCATACAATTTCCACTCCTCCTGCCCCAATCTAGGCCCCTGTTGTCCTCATGTGAGTTGCTGCAATGGTCCCTAACTGGTTTTCCTGCTTCTTCCTTTGACCTCATGAAAACCAGAAGGATCTTTAAAAGGGTGAGTAAATCACCTCACCCATATCTCCAGCTCTGCTTCTAGCATTCCCGTGGTGTCTCATCACACTTGGAGTAAGTCCTAAAGCTTACCATGGCCCGACAGGTCCTAAATCACAGGGCCCTAGCTCACTGTGCTCTGGGACACCAGTCTGTCACTGCTGCTGGAACAAATCAAGCTGGTTTCCTCCTAAGGGCTGGGGCTTCCCAGTCTCCTTTACTTGAGACTTCCTTGATCCTGACCCTGTGACCCCTCAGATCTCACTGTAGGAACTCCTTCTTCACCGAGACCTTCCCTGAGCAGCCACTATAGGACCCACTGGGCCATTATCACATGGCACTCTATCTGAAGCTCTTACTCATCCATATGTTTGCTTATTGAGACATGTCTCTCCCACCAAAATGAAAGCCCCATAAGATCTGGGACCCACCTGTCTTGTTCAGTGAGGAACCCCCAGGACCTGCCATAGAGGTAGAGTAGATAATCGGTGGATATGCAGAGAATCTGTGCAAATCTAGGCTTTGAGCCCAGATCTGTGGCTCCCCTAGTTCTGTCTTCTTCCCTCTCGTGACAGATGAAGGGAACAGAGGTTATTCCTGAGATGCTCATCCTAAGGTTCCACCCACCTCTTCGCAACAGCCACTCGCGCACAGTGTCCGTGACATCAAAAGACAGCCACTCCGCAGTGCCCCGTGTGGGCAGGTTTTTGCCTCCGATGTAACGTTGTTTGGCAATGTGCTCATCTGGTCGAAGTATCTACAGGGCAGAGAACAGGGTCAGTACCTGAGGCCAGGACACAGTGCCATAGGAGAGGTCACAAGACAGGTGAGAAAGCAAAAGTTTCAGAGTGCCATGTCCTTGGAGCACTGTAGGGAGTTCTGTCCTCTTAATGACAGACAGACATGGAAATTAAGGGTCAGAGGAGCCAGGATTCAGACCCAGACCTGCTGAACTCTGAGCCCTGGTGGAAGCCGAACACGGTAGAGGCACTGACTCTGGTCGGTGGTTCTGTCCTGGGAGGGTACCTGGAAGAGTTCGATCCTCTGCTCAGTGCGCTTGGAGCTGGGATTAGGCACGCGCAAGACCCGGAATTCTGCCCGGAAAAGATTGGTTCCATTTTTCTCCACTGAGGACACGTTGAAGCGGAAAACCTTGGAGGTAATTCCTTTGGGGCAGACGGCCAACTCGTCTAGGGGATAAAGCAACGGGGAGAAGCACAGCATGAGTGACACCTGTGAGAACAGTGCACTGCCAGCAGAGGTGGCAAGTGGCCACAGTCCCACCTGTGACCTCCACAGAGGTCTGAGACCTGAGACCTGAAAGTGGAGATAGGAGAAAGAGTCTTGGTGACCCTCGAGTCATACAGTCCTGAGAGAGGAGCAGGGAGACCTCAGAGACCCTGGACGTAGCACCAAGACTGGATGGCAAAACACAACCGCCCCTCCCCCCACTGCCTGGATATCCGCATCTGCTAAGCTCTCAGCCAGATTTGCCTGCTCTTTTAGAAAATGTAGATTCTCAAAAGATAGCAGTCCCCCCGCCCCCCAGTGGCTTAGCTCATGGACTCATTTGTGAGTTTGGGGCATTCATTCACTTCCTGAACACTGGAGAGCAATGCGACATGCCAAACCCTGTAGATGCTAACACGGGGAAGCAAAGAACAAATGGATGCAGCCACTGCCCCCCAGGGAATTAATATCCAAGGGAGGTCACTGACACATGAACCCAAATTACAGGACCAGAGAGAAGGGGCCTTTGGAAATGCCAAAGAGAGGCTGCAGGGGATGGGAGGAGGAAGAGAGCAGGGGACACTTTGGGGAAGAAATGACAGGAATCTGAGCCCTGCAGGAACAGCAGAGCATGAGGATGGGAAGGAAAGAGACCTCACATGGAGGGAGGGACACTTGGAGCAGAGGCAGGGAGCAAAGCAAACCCAGGAGAGGAGGAGGGACCCAAAGCATCTAGGCTGCAGCTGGTGAGAGGGTCAAGACAGCAGAGTGCGTGCTGCCTGTAGGGAGACCCACGTGTCAGACCTAGAGGCTGGGTTGTATCCCAAAATAGTAGGGAGCCATGGGAAGTGGCAGAGTTAATGCTGAATAACACAAAAACAGAATCAGCACCATGGTCTCCACCTAATGAAGCAGGGTCTGTATGGCAAAGAGACCATCTTGGTCCTGGCAGAAACACAGGTTTCTTTGAACAGGGGTCAGCTGCCATTGGCTCCTTTCTCTTTAAGGGTCTCTGACGGCACGTGCCATGCCAGCCTCTGTCACCCTGCTGACTTCTTCACCCCTATCCACCAGACAGAAGGCAGCAGATGCTCTCTCCCACCCTTCAGAGCCAGATCTTTATCAGAGCTGACCCAGACACAGAGAGAAAGCCCCGTCTCTCCTCTACTCCAGCGCACTTGACAATCTCAGGATCTGAGCAGCATCGACACCCACAGAAAAAGTTCACAACTGGTAACAACGGCCAGAACTTGAAATTCAAGCTCCTGGACCCAGATTCCACACATAATGGACATGGCTGGAATGAGATCATAATCACCCCGAGGGGTGGTTTAGGAAGTCACGGACAAGGCGGGACAGATCAGAGTCTGGAAACAAGCAAATGTGCTACTGATCTTTAGGAAAGGATGAGTGAGTGTTTCTGGAAATTGCCATCTGGTGGGCCTTACACTGGTTCTTAGAAAATGAATGGAACAGATGTGAGGAGAACAAATGTGTGAATGCCAGCTAATGAATCCCTGATTAATAAGTGACCTTGAAAGAACAAATACTGCCAACTATTCCCTAAACCATCTCAGCAAGAACCAAAGACAGGAATCTGGGTTAGCAATCTTTTTTTTCTTTTGGTGCTAGAGATGGAACCTAGGGCCTCACACATGCTGAGCACACACTCTACCACTGAGATGCACCTCCAGCCCCAGGGAGGGCAATTTAATGTTTAAGTCCACAGGTTTATAACTCGGGACATGGATAAGCTACTGGGTCTGCTGACCCTCTCAAGGACCGACAGAGTTGGGTCTTGAAGGAGCTGTCATCGGTCTGGCTTCAGTTTTAACAGCAGCTCCAGTACTGTCTGCAAGAGAGAATAAAGGGCAAGTCAGGGCACTGCTCACCTTGCTCTCAAGACGAGAAGGGAGTGGAAATAGCACCTGCCAGGGAGGAGAGTCAGAGCGGGGTCACACAGTGGGAAGTCAGAAGATGAGGAAGGGGGGGGTGGCACTAAGAGAGTTCTCAGGACACCCTAGTGACCACCCCTCCTTGATTTCTTCCTGCCCATCAATCATACATCTGTACCCAAGATGACTTTTCTTTCTGAGAATGTGAAGGAGGTTTCAAGAGGTAGGAAGGATCTTTTTCTATCACTGTTTCCAACAGGATTAGAAAGGACATTAGAAATCATCCTGTGTGACCCTCTTCAGATAAAGAAATGAATATCCAGAACAGTCTTGGTCAGAGTCACACATGGATTAACTGACATGAGTGAACTGGCACTAGTAAGCAAAGCTCAGACACAATCATTGGTGATTAAAAAACAGGATTACCTGGGAGAGAAAAGAAAAATGTAAGTGTGGTCTTGACAAATACATCTGCCGAATAATGTTTTAAACAATTTGTGGAATGCATGAGTATAAGGAAATAAACAAAATAAATGAGTGTAAATAACACCACCATACATTTTATAGTGCTCTCATGAACTCATACGACCCTGTAACAACCCTTGAGAATAAAGAGAGTATATAAAATTTCTCATTCTACAAATGAGAAAAGCGAACATCAGAAAAGTTAAACGACTCCCAATGTCACTCCATTAGCAGGAGGCAGAGGTGGGACTGGAACCCAGGTCTTCTGTCCACTCCCCAGTTACTGAAGCAGAGACTCTGGAACTTGGAGGGGACCTGGGAGGTCCTCCAGTGAAGAGCTAATATCATCAACAAAATGTTGCAGAATTCCTTGAAATGGGCCTAGAGTACCAGCCTGTGCCCCAGATGAGAGCCAATGGCCAGTCCATTTTGTGATTCTTAAGCCAGACTTTCCACGGAACATGAGCATTCTGAAGAGCTGGACTAGGGGAGTCTATGTTTACAAATTAAGTTATGACCAACTTTTTCCATTGCACCAAGAAAAATAGATATGCATGGATGCCACTTTCTCTGTTTTGCTTTAGGGGGGCAAGCAAAGAATAAGCAAGCAAAAAACATCAGGTGGGGTATCCACGTTTACTTAACTGCCTTTAAAAATGTTTACAGACACCTGGGCCGCTAGGTGTGCCTCTGCCTATATAGGTCACTCCTGCTGGTCCGGTGAAGGCCCGGGTATGTCCGCCCGGGTATGTTGGAGTGGCCGTGCTTCTCCTCTATCTCTGCAGCGGAACCACCTGGAGAGCTTTAAAACCAGGTGGAGTCTGGGCTTGCTGCCCAGCAGTTCTGTCTATACAGGGTGAATCCACAGCATTTTAAAAAATGTTCTCCAGATGATTCTAAATGTGTAGCCAGGATGGAGAACCACAGTTTATAGTTTTCTGCTAAGGGTGCCATGGCTTCAGATGTTCTGGAAGTTTGAGAAACCACTGGATTAATGGTTTTGAAGCTCTAAATGGATTAACCTTTAAATGAATTAGAAGTGTTGTTTAGCCAATGTACCATGTTTAAATTTTTTGAATTAGAAGCCCGTAAACATTTTAAGCCCATGTGAAAAGTTGAGAGATTTCACAGAAAGATCCAGATTTTCTGCTCTTCTGGAAAGTGGTAAGATGGAGTCAAGCTGGACCCACATTCCTGAGTGTAAAAATCAGCAGGAGCTGAGCAGTGGCTGCTTCTTTCAACAGGACAGTGGGGAGCCCAGGTCCCTCCCTCCCCTGGCCACAACTACTTTATCCATATCCCTATCCCTGAGGCTAAGTGTCCTGTGCATTTTGTCACGGTGCCTAGATCACGGTTTTTCTTCCAGATTGTGTGCATTACCTGCCTCTCGGTAGGAACTTACATTTGCACCTGCTCCAAAGAAAAGACTCTGCCTTCAGCTCAATGAAAATACTGATTCCTCAGGATCCCTATCCCCCAGAGATTGATTCTGTAAGAGTGAGGTGGGACCTGGGAGTCCACATTCACCCGCCTCGGGGCCACCCTTGAATAACCATGCACAGAGCATGGGCACTTAGGGCCCATGAGTTCTTTCAACATGAAATGCCTTCTAATTTCCAAAAGATAGTTTCCAAAATCTATAGTTAGCAGCCAGAAAAGAAAGGCTAAAATACCGCATTTTCTCTTTGCTCAGGAATTTTGGGTTTGCTGGCTGTCTTCACACTGCCCTTGGCTTAGAACAAGAGTTTCCCCCTGGACACAGAGAATTCTAAGCTAGAAGATAAAACGACACCTATGCTGATGATGTATTGTAAGAAGGACCACAGAACTGGGAAGGCTGCATCCTCCCCTCCCCTCCCCCACCCACCCAAGGTGGATCAGAACAAGCCCCTGCTCACTTTCCATAGCAAACTCCTGTAGAATTAGAAAAGGATTATGGAGTGGTGCCTTGCCCATACATCCCAGCAGAGACTCAGGCAAATCACCCAGATGTAATTATAAAATTCTATCAGGTGAAAGGGAGTTTAGAAATCAACTGCAGCATTACAGATGGGGAAACTGAGGCTTAGAGAAACAACTCTCATGTGGCTTGAGAATTAATCTGCTTGAGACTCTTCATTAAGTAAAGGAAACCGTTTTATTGCATTTGGGAGAACATTTGTAACAGTCTGAGTCTCCTGGAAAATCCAGTTGTCTTTGTGCAATCTGCCAGTTACTAAGGCAATATCTCCTGTCCCCTTCTGCTTGGGCTAATGTGGGATTCGTTTGTGTTATAAATCAAAGTTTCACTGGGGCCTAAAGGTTAAAGGTGGACATAAAAAGTGTCTTTCACACGTACATTTGTGCTTGATAGCACGTGTTGTGTGTGCAGCACGTCTAGGTTAGAGGCCCTGCTCTTTGTGCATAGATGGCTTAGCTGGGCCATGTCTCAGTCTCCTCATCTACAAAGTAGGAGATTAGGGGATCTGGGACAGGGCAGAAGCAGAGGACCAGCCCTCCTCTCCACTCTTACCTTGGTGCCCCTTCTCTGTACCACTGAAAAGTATTCTTTCTTTCACTTCCCTCTCTGGAAACCCCTCTCCCCTTGCCCCAGATCCAATTGTCACTACCCTCCAAGTGCCCACCCACTACATAAGGGGGTGGCTGGGAGTGACAAAACATGGAAGAGAATGCCATCTTATTACCCTGTCCCCCAGTAGAAGCTCTGGCATGGGGGCCCTGCCAGTGCCATCCCACAGACCCAGAGCCACCCCCGTCTGCCCTCCGGAGTTAAGAACAGCCTTTCCCCCACCCCCTGCACCTCTGATGATGCCTCCCTCTGGCTCGGCATCTGGTGGGCATTTGCATCTGCCCACTGCCTTCTTCATAATTAGTGGGCCTGTGCATCCAGGGCAGGCTCAACACCTGATCAGCTGCAAAGCTGGCCCCAGGCCTGCATCTGCTCAGCCTCTGGGTCACCTCCCACAGCTGCAGAGAGTCTGGGGCCTGTTTCCTGTTTGCACCTGCAAGCCTCCATGGCCTGCCTGTGTCTCACTGGGCACTGGCTCTTCCTCAGCACCCCAACAGCACCCTGCTCACTGTGCCGAGGTAGCCCAAGCTTCTGCTCTGCTGCCCGCGGCCACCCCCATCTGCAGCAGTGGTAAAGGTTGGTGCCGCAGCCTGGAAGCTGCCCAGCACTTGTAGGGCCCTGTCCTGGCTTTTCCTAAGGCTCTGTGATGCTTGCACAATGCATGCTGTTAAGTACCAATGTACATGTAAAAATACACATTTTAAGGACACCTTTGTGCCCTTGAATCTCGGCACAAAATTGATGTACATGCACACCTGTGTAGCCTTGCAACCATCTGGCCCATTATTGGTCCAGGCTGGGTGGGCCCTTATGACTCAGAATCCTTCCTCCGTTGGACTCTTCCTCCCGACCGGGCCCATGAAGGTGTGAGTCCTTCCACTTGTCCTGGATTCTCCTCAGACTTTTCCTGCTGGTCTCAGATTTCCACCCTCCTCTGATGTTTGTGGCCACCAGGACCTGCCTTGTGTGACCAGGGAGCAGCCATCCAGCTGCTGGGAGCCTTTGGGACTGCAGGCCCCTGGCAGACCCATAGCCAGCCCCACCCAGAGGACCCTGGGCAGGGAGCTCTGGTTCGGCCTCAGCCTCAGCCTCCACCCCCCAATCACAGCCACATCCTAAGGAAGGGCGCTTCAGGCAGCCACAGGAAACTGCAGCAGGAACCCCTCGCCAGTAACCACAGGCTCCTCCGCCTGCTGTGGGCCAGCTGGGGATGGGGCCTTCATTCAGAGCAGGTCCAGCCATGGCACCCTCTCCTGTTCCTTCTCTCCAGACAGGTTCCTTTCGACCCCTGCTATTCACCCCATGACTGCCCTCCAGGGAGGTCTCCATACCATCCTCCCATCCCCACTCTGGGGACTGCCCACTTCCCAGGTGGGCCAGGGCCCAGGTAGCCAGGGCAGCGAGGACACCTGCTGGTAGGAAAAGCAAACAGAGCTGCTCCCCGAGTCTGGCCGAGAGTGGCTCACATTCCTCTTTCCTGGGCTGTCAGTTTCTCAACATCTGCCAAATTTCTTTCTTGTATTGAGGTTTTTTAAATCCCCGTTCAGTAAACACACATGACTTCCACACGTGTACAAACACACACAGGCGTCTCACCCAGAAGCTTCCCAGCTCTTCCTCACAGACAGGAGCCTCTGGGAAGACATAATATCCCAGACACACGGCCCCACAGTCACCCCCCAAGCTCCCCCATGACACGCAGACCCAGAGGCCCACCAGCCCTCCTCCACACACCCAGAGCCATGACCTTGCTGTCCTGTATCCACCGGCCCAGAAGGCCTGCTCTCCACACATGAATCTGCCCACTGTACAGCAGGAGAGTCTGCATTGCCCTGAAGTCCAAGTTCATGTGAACATATGTGCAAAGCCCCCTCCCAGTTCACATGGGTCACATGTGTGAGGTAGACCAAAGGCCCAGGAAATAAGAAGCTGTCTCTTGCCTGGCCTTCCACAAGCTTGACAGACATTCATTTGGAGCAGGTACTCTGCTTCCCAAGAGCTGGAAAAACTGAAATGGAGACGTGTCACAATGAGCTGTGAAAAGCAGGGAGAAGGCTGAGGTGCTCAGGCTCTTGAAATCATAAGGGCTCTGGCTGGATACAGCGAGCCGGCCTGCCCCTCAATGGCACCCATATGCTTACCATTACCCATATGGTCACATGCGTGAGAACACATATGTTTCCCTGGGCGGCACGATGTAATTCCAAATTAAAATCACATCATAAGGATGTGATGTGAGTTGAGCAAACCGCTTAGCTCCAGAGCTCCTGACCTCCCAGAAGGGTTCGGCTCTTACCAGAATGGCTGTTCCCTTCCCTACCCACCTACCCAGCCCCACCTGCACATCACACCTCCTAAGGCTGAGGCTGGTGAACCCCAGGGCATCCTGCTGTGTGACCACTGCAAGGCCCCCTCCGTGGGGCTCCCCTCCACAGCAGACACCCAGCAAGCATTTGGACTTACTGTGCTCCGCCAGCCCCTGGATCATGTCGAATTTATGGATCTCTTTAGCATAGTATTCCGACTCGGTGTTTTCCTGAGTACAGCCTTCCTCCCTCTCCCCCTGCATCTCCTCCAGCAGCTCCCGGGTGCTGTTGTAAAGGGCCAGGACCTGGTAGGGGACGTGGGTCATCACCGATGGCTCAGGGGGGCTGGTGAGCCTGAGCTTGCTCAAGATCTGTCCCCTAATGGCTTCCACCCTTTTCTTCTTGATGTGGCCAAAGTCCAAGGTGGTGCAAGTGGACAGAGAGAGGCTGACCGTGGCAAAGTTCAGCAGGGCCAGGACCACCAGAGCCCTCTGCAAGTGCATCTTCATGTGCGAGCTGGGGAGAGAGGCCAGGGGGGCGGCGAGGCCTGGCAAGGAGGAGACCCCAGCAGACGTGCAGAAAGAGGGAGGAAAACCAGGCGGCTTCCCCAGATCCCAAAGACTGAGGCTTGGCAAGAGGGTGCATGAACTCACTGCACTGCGAGAGCTTCAGGACTTCCAGGAAGCGCTGGCAACCCTGAGGACGAAGAAGCGGACTGTGGGCCTTGTAGCACTGCGATTCTTGTCCATGTGTCTAAACAGGTTTTGCTGGGCTCTGACTCCCAGCAGGCCAGGTGGAGGGCAAGCAGAGGGCTGGGAGGGGTGGCAAGGCAGCTGGGAGTGGGAAGGGAGCTGGAGTTTTTCCTTAGGTAAAAATAAATAGAGCGGATATCTGATATTGCCAAACGCTGCTTGGCGATGGGGAGAAAGTGGGTATTTTAAAGAAGGCACAGAAGGACCATGGCTGGGCCCCCAAATCAAAATCCTCACCTTGCCCTGAGGGAGAACAAGAAAAGAGAATGGAAAAGAAAAGAAAAAAAATATATTTAAAAAAATACCCAAAAGTCAGATCAGCAGTGAGTAGGTGGGAAGAGGCAGGGCGCACAGTTGCTGGCCCAGCTAAAGGTGGGGGAGGACAGGACACACTTGTCTCTCGGGCACTCCATTCATGCTTTCCCTTTTGTTTACACTTCCTCAGGGGCTTTCTAAATGACTTTGTTCACGCTGCCTCTTGTCTTCATTGGCTGGCATGTGGGGATATGTGCCACTGGAAGGCAAGACGGACAGACCTCTGGAGAACAGCCCCAGTAATCCACTTGGACGCCCACGGTCACCAGCACCTCAGTTTGTCTTCTCCCTCGGCCATGGCTTCTGTCCCCTGCTTCTCTTAAAAAAAAAAAAATCAAAAGGAAAAGGAAAAGAAAATAGAAGACAGTTCACTGCAGCTGGCTCCGGAAAGCGGTCATTCCTTGCTTTGCACTCTCCTTCCCTTGCCACTCGCCTCTCTCTCGCTCATTCCCTTGGACTTGACTCTCTGCTTCCTTCCCTTTTCTCTCTCCTTCTCTCTCTTCTTCTTCTTCTTCTCCCTCTCCCTCTCGCTCCTCTCCCTCTCTCTCTCACACACACATGCACACACACTGCTTTCTCTATTTCTCTCTGCTGAAATTTTATACCTCCCTCCCATGACGTCTCGGGGCTGGGGTGGGGGAGGGAGGGAGGGACCAGCGCACGCAGCCTCTTCTGCTGCACGATTTTAATGTTTTAAACAGGCACAGGAAAAGCCGAGCCCATTTGAAAAATACTTTGCGAGTCCTCTCTTCGACGTGGTAACTGAACTTTTTTTCCCCTCTTGGAGTCACTCCTGCAACACGTTGGCTGTTTTTCTGGAAAGTTACTCCGCCGAGCCCCCTCCCTCTCTCCCCCAGCCCCTGCGCGCTCTGGCCAGCTGTCAGTCAATGCTCTCCTCCGCCCGTCTCTCTCCCTCGCGGTCCCCCGTGCCCGGCTGCCCCTGGGCTGGTGGACACCCGGCAGGGGCCGCAGGGGGCGCGGGACCGGGCAGGGCGGCCGTGCCACCCTGGGTCGGGGTGATGCTCGACCTGCGAGCGGGGCTGGAGTGGGGCCTGGGCTCTGCGGCGATCCTGGCCGAGATTCCTCATTGACAAGCCTGGAGTCGCGGCCGGCTGAAGCTTGGAGACTCTCCAGGGTCATGGAAAAAATGGTGGCGTTTTCCGGAAGACCGAGGGTGCCCTCTGGCGAGGCCTGGCCGCCAGTGAAGGAGGCTCGGCGGGCCCGGAACCGGGCAGGCGGGAGGGCCGGGGCGGGGGCGGGAGAAGGGGCCGTCAGAGAGGGCGAGAAAAACAAGCCTGTGCGCCCTGGGGATCGCCTCCCTCTCGGCCCCACGTGCGTACAAGTGCACCTCTCCCTGCCGGAGCCGCGGCTCCCGAGCAGCTCCGCGCCGCAATGTCATCCAGATGTTCGCAGCCTCCCTCCCAGCCGAGGGTTCCGCAGGGAGCTGCGCCAGCGAGCGCGAAGTCAGCAATTGGCCCGAGCCCATTTCCCAGATGGGTGAGGGGAAGCTTGCGCTCCGCTTTCGTGGCTCTTTTCAGCCTGGAGCTTCTGGTTCTGTTCCCACGAGCAGCTTAGGGAGTGCAAGACACATCCTTTGCCTCCCCAACCCAGGACTTCTGATCACTTTCCTGAGAATGAGTTCTGCCCCTCTCCCACCTCTCCCTCCAGCCTTCTTGGACCCTTCCTGAGAAGTCTGGTTCCTAGATCACTAATTCAAGGGATGTTAATGCATCCCCAGGACAGTGGCGGATCGTTTAATAGTTGAGGAAATTGAGGCACAGGGAGATTTTTTTTTTTAAACGTCACTCTGCTTGTGAGTAGTGGAGGTAATATTTAATGGATAGGCATGATTTTCATTTGCATTACCAATAGGGAAAGCTAGGTGCGGACGCCTTAAAGATTAGCTAACTAGGGTCATATAGCTCTTAGGTGTCAACTCTGGGATTTAGATTCATTGTTAGAATCTGGGAACCTAATCTTTCCACTGCACTGCCTCTGGAATTTGAAAAAATAGTTCTGATGTTTACAATAAGCCAGGCACTGTCCTGTGATTATATCAATGAGCAAAAAAAAAAAAAAACCACCAAATTCTTGCTCTCAGGAAGCTTATATTTTAGAGGCAGGAGTGGGGCAGTGGGGAGACAATAAGCTAAATCATTATGTAAATTATGTACTCAGATAAAAGATAAGTGCCACACCGAAAAAATAAAGCAAGGAAGATAAGGAGTACCTAAGTTGGGGAATGTTGCAATTTAAAATAGGGTGATCAGGGAAGGCCTTACTAGGCCTTTGAGCTAATTCTTACAGATAGAAAAGAAAATTATTGAAGTTATACCTTAATGGGGTATAGAGATTCCATCACTACCAAGTTGGTCTCTAGAGATAGGGCTCTGGCACCTGTTTTTCTAAACACCCCTCTCATTAGATTCAATTGCTCATCAAGTTTTGAAATGTCTTATAATAGGGCTTCTCTCTACTCAGGGTGAGTGCTGTTCCTCTTTTATTTCCAGGGAGTTGGGGAGTTGGGCATGAAGTTCTATAGACTGACTAGAAGGTGGTGGAGGGATAGCTGTGAGATGACAAGAAATGGACAGATCCAAAGATGAACCCCTTCTTCCTCATATGGTGCCAAGAAAGAAGGGAACAAGTGATTCATTGGCAGATATCTCAGGCTATCTTAGATTTTTGGCACCTTATGTTGCTTCAGATTAAAATCTTACAGAATATCCTCGCCAAGAAGCAGAGTAAGTAAGTAAAGGATCTTAGAAGCCCTCTCATTACAAGTGAGGAAACTGAGGTCCAGGAGGCTCTGCCCTGACTGCATAGTTATTAGCAGAGCTTGGATGAGAACTTGACTCTTCTGACGTCCTTGCCCGTGTTCTTGCCATTACTAGGCATGCTAACTCATAATCCTACCCAGTAATCGTGTGAAATTTGCTGGATATTTAAGAAATGTTCACAATTCAGTTTTAAGGATGCTACTCCCATTTCCAAGTCCTCCTTTTTTAAGGACAAAGCCATCCAGGCCTTACCCCCAAACTGGGGATATTGCTTGTTTTTAGAGCCACAAGCCCATTATCAGTGAATCTCAGGGAACAGTGCCAGGGACCTGGCCAGTAGTGTTGATTTGGGGATCTTTTATGAAGTGTGAGTCAGTGAAGACTCAACTTGACTGTTGGCCTAGTACAATGGCTGGCACCCACTAGTACATGCTGGAGAAAAATACTCCTACTGTAATCTGTCTCAGCTGCTCAGCACTCAGGTTATTTTCCTCAAGTTACTTCTTTGTGCCTCAGTGTCCTTCATTGTTGAATAGAAATATTGCTGCTACTTGCTTTGTGGGGTTGTTGAAATTAAATGAGATCACCCAGGTTCTTGATATTTTGGTTCAGCCTCTCCATAAACTTCTTGAAGACAGATATTATATATATTGCATTTTCTGTAATTCATTATAAAACATTTATTGCACTTGATTTCATCTGTCAAATAGAAACAATACAATTTATTTTGCTTCCCACAAAGGGAGGCCACTGGGATTAGAGGTTGTTATGCCCCTCACTTGAGCTAATAACTCTGAAGGCCCTCTGTACCTAGAAGGGATACAAATGGAAGGGATCAGAGTAGTAATTACTACTTTTAACAGTAATGCTTTGCACTTACCAATGTATTTAAACAGAGTTACAAATGTAGACAGTTACTAAGCACAACCCTTTTTCATTGTCTCACAGGAGCAGTCTTAGCGGGAGCTTTCTTCTGTAAATCAGACAAGGTAGGCTTAGGAAACTTTAAATTGGAGGGTGGCCTGAAGAATCCAGGAACAACGCGGCGGTCCCTTTAAATATTGGAAGGGCGGAGTCGTCGTCAGGGACGCGAATGGGAAGCTTGGTTTCCAGGAAGTGACGTCATATGGCCGCGGAGATGGACGAGGAGCTGGACCTGGGCGAGGAGCGGCGCCGCAGCTCGGCCTTCTCCGTGAGGACCGAGGCGGGGGGCTTGGACCAGAACTCGGCGGGTGGGGAAGAACAGCCCCGCTGGACCGGGGCCGCTGAGGCGCTGAGGCCCGGCCCGGCGCGGGCGGGACAAGTCGAGCCGCACGGGGTTGCGGCCCGGAGGAGGCGTCCAGTTCGCCCCGCCCCCGGGGGTTGCTTTCTTTAAAATCCCCCAAATAGAAAACAGGTCCTGTCCCCGCTGGCCTCTGGGACCATGCGAAATCTCTGCGCCTCGAGCCCCAAGTGCGAACTCACCCGGACCGGACAGATCTGAGGGTGACAGGAGGGTCCCGGCCAGAGTCGCACTTATACCCATGCTCAGGTTTTCCTTTGGCACTTCTCACCCCAGAAGTTCTTGTAAAAGCCGCCCCGTTTTATGCACGCAAGGGAGGAAGCCAGGGCCTCTCTCCCTGTAACCCCCCTGGGGAGGCGGGCGCTACCTCACTTTTCCTGTGGGCAATCAAGACTTTATAACATATGGGATGGTGGTGAGGGGTGCTCGGGCCCTGAAGTCAGATGGAGTATAAAGCTGTTGGTAGGTTTTAAAAAATTATCTCTGAACCTCGATGGTAAGCACTTGACATTGCAGGGCTTGGCATGTGCTAAGTTATCAGAAGAGATTAGCTGTAGTTGCCTGAAGCTGGGATTTACCCATCAAAACCTAAATTTAGTGTTTTTCTTACTCCATCACAACCCCCAGCATGCTTTTAAAATTAGTCAAGATTAAAAAGATATCACTGGATGTCCTCCACAGGGCCATAGAGGAGCACTTTTCTGAGGGAGGCAAATTGGTCTGGAGTGAAGCAGCCTGCTTGACTAAGTAGAATGAATATTAGGTCACCAGGCCTTTTTGATACATGAACTTTTTATGAGGGAGGGGGTACCAGGGATTGAATTCTGGGGTACTCAACCACTGAGCCACATCCCCAGTCCTATTTTGTATTTTTATTTAGAGAAGGGTCTCACTGAGTTGCTTGGCACCTCTCCATTGCTGAGGCTGGCTTTGAACTCGCCATCCTCCTGCCTCAGCCTTCTGACCCACTGGGATTACAGGCGTGCACCACTGTGCCCGCCTTGAAATATGAACTTGTTTAATACGTGGATGTGAATGTGGTTATTTCTTCATTCTTTCCATGAATGTCTGAGCCCTACCGTATCTCAGGTATTGTCCTAGATCACAGCAGTGACTAAAACATTGTGGAACTCATGTCTTTGTGTGGGAAGATGGAACCCAGACTATATATATAAACAGGTTATAAAGTGGTGTTCTATCCTATGGATTTATACAGCATCTTTAAAAAGTTCAAAATCTTAAAAATATTTTACAGTTATTAGAGAGACTATCTGTAAATAGCATTTAGAGACAAGATCATTGAATTTTTGTTTTAACACAGTCCCTGTATTTATGTAGTATGCAGTATTCAGATACCTGACACTATGACAAATGGAAGAGGGAAACCATGTCTGAAGGGATGGAATTGTCTGCCTTGAAAAGAAAGTGAGCTGCTTACTATCAGAAAAAAATGTTTCAATCCTCCCTGAAACCTAAACCATTGACATTACAATTTGAAGCATGAACCCTGAATAAGAATTCTGATACAGCAACTTGAAACTTCTTTCTTCATTCTTAGAACATTCTCAAACAAATCTCAGCTTGGCACAGGGAAAAGACCCAGGATTTGAAGTCAGAAGACTTCATTCTTGGACTTATGTCTGCCACTTAATACTGGGCCTCAGTTTCCTCATTTATAAAATGGCATCTGTCCTAGCCCCTGCCCACGTTATTGTGAGAATCAAGCAAAGCCACATTAAATGAGATCTACAAGTGCCTATATTAATAGTTTTTTAAAAATAAGCAATTAAAATGATATGTATTTCAACACTCACTAGTGTGTCTCCAAGTCTTTTTGTGTATTGGGAAGTGTTTGAGACCAGAACCTCCACACGAGGAGGGTCTTGGGAAACACCTGCAAATGGTGCATTTGATGACTCAGAATTTTAAGGTGCTCTAATTTTCAAAGTTGATGTCTCAACATTCTTGCAGTAGACTTCCCTTACTGTCTGTAAATGCAAATCCATTTAGTGTATATTTCAAAGCAAATGTTTTCTATATTTCTCTGGCATTAGTTGCCATGGAATTTAGAATTTTTTCCAGAAGCCTATTTAATAACTATTTTCAGCTGTGATATTAGGCCTTCATAAAATTCTGCTTAGGAACGTGGAAGCCATGGCCACCCCCTCTATGACATTAAGTCATGTGACATGGGGTCTCTGCCCAGTCTACAGGCATTTCTAACTACATTTCTTTGAATGGAAAAGTGATTTTGCTTTTGCAGTCCTCATGGCTATAAAAGAAAACCTCATGAGCAATAACCTGTGAATGTCCTGTTCCCCTATAAAGTAGAATGGATCTCAGCTGCTTTGCTTTAAGGTCAAAGATTGTTCTCTACCATAACATCCTAAATCCAGTCCTTGCTTACCTCCCCAGAATTGTCATCCTCATAGTGGTTCAAATGACATTTGGCCAGCAGTGCCCTTCATCTCTCCTTATAGGGGGCCAAGATGGGTCGCCGAGCTCAAAAGGAGCCAGCTCAGGCTGAGAATCACTTCAGTGACAGGAATGCCTCGGTGACTCTGACCAGTGAGGTAAGTGCCAAAAACGAGAGAGAGAGAGAGAGAGAGAAATGTGAAGAAATGCAGAAATGCAAGTTATGACTTAGTGATTCCTTAATGAGCAAGGATTCCGTATTCCACATTTCTTCTTCAGTGCCAGCCCCTCCTTTAATCTGGATATGGGAATTCCCATCCTTGACATTTGTCCCATGAAATGAAAGGGGAACAGTTTTCTTTAAGGCCAGACTGGTTTCTGTACATTTCTTCATAGTCTTAGTATAGAATTTTTAATGTTAGCTGAAACAAGGGACTGTGAAGTTTCAAAATGCAGTAGAAATATGGGTTTTTATTTCTCCTGAATGAACACTAGTGAGGCATGCTGGTGACGAAAGGGTGATGACACAACTGGACATTACTCTCAGCGGTGACCTATACTTTGTGCGGTTTTCAGGCAGGAAGAGGATCATTTAATGGACTTAGTTTCCTGGAAAATTTTCTGAGTGGCCTGGGATTATGAGAAATTACCCAGCTTCTTCATGGAGGGTGGGTCACCCTGAGGAGTGGTACGTTTTAATGACCAGGCACTATTTTGGGCAGTTGGCTCACAGTCCTTTTTTATCTTCCTCTGTTTGACTTTCAAGAGTCAACCCAGGGCCCTCCATTCTGTTAGCTGTCCCCTAAGTTCTGCAAGTTAGGGCTCCTTCCTTTTAATTCCATAGTACCTCCTCTGGGGAAGGTCACATTCTGTGTTAATTATCTTTTTATGTGTCTGTCTGTCCCACCAGACAGAGTTCCCAGATGGTAGGACCCCTGACTTCTGAGTTGCCGGATTTGTAGATACAAGATAGGTTTACAGCAAATGAGGGACCCCTGCTGAGAAACCTAATGGGCCAGGCAGGTGCATGAGCAAAGTGTGCCAGGTACCCAGCACAGACATGCTGTACTGATATGTCAGATCTGCAGGAATATTCTTCATTTTCATAAGGAATACATTCCACTGACATCTCTAAAGGGGTAACCATTGTGTAGCTGAAGCTGGTCGATGCTAGGGGAATGCAAGATCAATATTGCCAGATCTTCCAGAGTTATGAGACATGCTGTCAGTCTAAAGTGTTACATGAAAGAAGCAAATTTTTAGAAATTAGCAGCTGAATATGGAAATATAAAGTCATTGTGTGGGCTCTAGATTGGGCCAGAGGATGATCATTTTGTGACTTTGGCCATGATACCCTATTAAAGTACTCTCATAAGATGTGAGTAGGAAGCTGGTGAAAGCAGACTTGTCAGAACCCAGCCTGGATCTCTGGGCAGCTTGAACTGCAGGAGTGTATGCAGCTGACCCTTCAGAGAAAAAAAGAGGAAGCAGGGAAGGGGTTGCAGGAAGCCTCTTCTTGCACAGGAGTTTAGGCAGGTCCATTCTGAAAGCAGATCCTTCATTTATTTATCGAACAAGTATTCATCGAGCTTATTGTATGCTGGGTATCAATTTAGGACTTTGGTATACTTCAGGGAACAGAAGTCACAAGATTGTGCTGCAACAGAACTTACGTTCTCTCCATCATTGGCAACCAGAAAGACTAATTAAAAGTCTCCTTTATTGTGAAGGAGGTTATAAGCACTGTCATGGTAAGGTGAGAGAGCTGTGACAAACCAAGGTGTCCAGGAATGTCTTGATGGGCCCTTGAAGGTGACCCTTGTCCCAGGTGGGCTCTAAGGCTGAGGTCATGGGCACTGCTTACCTACCATCTCCTTCCCTGGTTTCCCAGCTGAGAATCAGTGCACTGAGAACACAGCTTCACAGTCAGTGGCCTGAGCCCTTCAGGGTTCCAACCTTTCAGGAAAACCTACTTACTTCCCCAGAGACATTTACCTTTTTATTTTTTTATTTTTTGACTCTGGGAGCACATGATTCAAAATCATTCTGTTCCTCATCCAGCTAGTGCCCCTGAAAGCAAAATGCCAGCAGAATTCCAGGATCCCTTCTCTTCCTGGGTTAATCAAGGATTTAGGCAGCCTCCCAGGGGGCCAGATGCACTGGGCTTTGTGGGACTTTGGGGCTGTTTCTTTCTAAAATTAGATCCTAGGACTTGTGTGTGTGCCCATTTACATTCCAATTCTGAGTATACTACTTGATGTATTTATTTTTGTCCTCTCACTGGATTAATTGTCTGTGAAGATATCCATGAAAATGTAAATGTGGTACCTGGGAGCCGTCAGACATACTAGAATGAAGTGGGAATTAGTTTCAAACAAATAGTTATTTTAAAGTGAGGTTGTAGCATTGGGAACCCTGGTGAAGGAAGCAGAGAGAACACAGGACTTGGCATCAGGAGACCAGGGCTGAGTCTGGGCACTGCTAATTGCCTGGATCTTAAACAAATCCACTAATCTCTTGAATCCTCCATTTCATTATCTGTCATGTAGTGCTAATAATACTCCTGGGTTGATGCAGGGATTAAGCGAGACCCATGTTTAACAGCACTTTAATAAACTGAAAAGCACTGTGTAAGCATCCATTCACTTATTAAATACATTAGTGAATGAGTATTTAGATAGCTTTGCTGTTTTTATTAAAGGGCAGCAAAAAAAGAGAATGTGACCAGGGTCTCTTTAAGAGCTGATTCGGAAGTCCTGAGGATTGTCACTTATTTAACCCTGGGTTGTTCAGCAGTGATCCATGTATTCCTTACGAAGGGCGTGTAAATCACAGACCTGGCCTGAAGTCCTGGCTGGGCCACATATGAATCCCACAACGAGAAGTCTCCCTAAGCCTCAGTTTCTTCATTGGTAAAATAGGGATAATAACTATGTATTTCGTAGGGTGGCTAGAAAGAAAAATGAGATAATATGTGGAAAGCCCCTAATAATGTGACACGGAAGTGCTCAGTATGATGCTAACCATTTATTTCTCTAGAACTTGTGTGTTCTCTAGAACTTATGTGTTCTTTTAATTCTGCCCTTACTCTCCACTAAGATTGAAAGCTGCCCTCAGGCTGAAGTTAGCTTGCAGTCATATTTTGGTTGATTTGTACAGAGTTAAAGCTTTTAAAAATTTGGTTAACATTTAAAAAATTTTTTTTTTCTAGCTATACATGGACACAACATTTTTATTTTGTTTATTTATTTTTATGTGGTGCTGATGATCAAACCCAGTGCCTTATATGTGCGAGGCAGATGCTCTACCACTGAGCCACAGCCCCAGTCCTGGTTAACATTTTTTGTTTTAAAAGAGAATTTCTTTTTAATATTTATTTTTTAGTTTTTCAGTGGACACAACATCTTTATTTTATTTGTATGTGGTGCTGAGGATCAAACCCAGCACCATGCGCATGCCAGGCGAGCGCGCTACTGCTTGAGCCACATCCCCAGCCCCCTGGTTAACATTTTTAAATTGGGAAATTTCACACAAAAATCCAGTTTTGGGACTTGTCTTGAAAATCTGAAATTCTGACCCCGTGGGAATGGTGGGCTGGTGTTCCTACATGGTGGCAGTTGGTTGGCGGTCCTGGTGGGGTTTACTCACACACAGCTAGCCCTGTCCAGTTCACCACTTCTTACTTTAATACACCTGATGAGATTTTCTCATTCGATCTGCCCAGCTCCTATTTCCACTTGAGTTTAAAACTCCCCCTTTTTTAGGTTGGATTAATTTCAAATATCTTCGGTGCCTATTGGTTTTGAATTTAGCTGAATGCAACTCCAATACTTCATTCAAAAAGGAGTTGTTTTTTTTTTTTTTTTCTCACACAGCAGAGAGTCCAGTGGAGGGCAGAGCAAAGTGTAGTCACTGGAGGATGTCCTGTGTCACCTTAGCTTTCCAGCTTCCTACTCTGCCATCTGGAGCTTGTGACTTTTGTGCTTATGGTTGCAAGGTAGCCGATGTTTGTCTAGGGATCAGATCTGCATTCTAGGCAAGAAGAGAGGGAATAGTTGAAGAGTTTAAAGTGCATGCTAATTAAATTTGCCCTTTCTCACTAGGAAAACAGTAGCCAAAAGCCTCAGGAAGTAGACATCTAGTCGCATTTCACTTGTCAGAACTGAGTTTTACAACTACCCTAACTTTCAAGAGTTTTATTAGGTTAGAGTTGTGTTTTTAACCACTACTGTTAAGCTTCAGGGGAGGTGTTTGTTTGTTGCAGTACTGGGGATTGAACCTGGGCCTCACAGATTCTCGATAAGCACTGTAACCCTGGCCACATCCCCAGCCTGCACATGGGAGTTATTAACTGGACATATTGCTACATCCTAACATTGGAGTTTCTTGGTAAGGGAAGAGTGGCCATTGAGTAGGCAATACAAAACTCATGACAATTTTTAAAAATAGAATTTATATGTAGAGTTGGTTTTTTTCCATAGATAAGAAAGAAAAGACTTGTTTTTAATGGCTTAAAAAATTCACATTCCTCTCTTTAAGTTTTTAAATTTAAAGTTGTGTGGAGTTCAGTGAAAGCATTATATGTTCTGGATTCCAGGATACCTGTTCGAGTTGTTCAGGTAACTCCCTCCTCTACCTTTTCATCCCTTCGACTACCTCCTTAACCGCAAGTGCTTTCTGCCTACAGGATACTGGTGGCTCCCCCCAGGTAATTAAACTATTCCTCTGCCTTGAGAGAGGATGAAAGGTCTCTTGATTAGTTGGTCATTCTATAAACTTCAAAGAACTGTTTAATTTCACTGAAGTACCAGGTAGAGGAGCCCTGTGGATTATTTTAATAGCTCAGAGTTGGAGATACAGGTAAAGTTCTTAGCATAGTATGTACCAAATGGACCCCCCACCCTATTCCCAAGAAGTGGTAAGCAATAAGATAGCTTAAGACTCCACCTTTGTGTATGTGGTAGTAGCTGGTGGGGTGGGAGGGACCTGTCACACAAATCAGGCTTGGATCATCAGAAGAATAATTCAGTTAGCAATTCAGCTTGTCAATAATCCATGTTATTGAGGATTTTTTTCTGGAAGATAGTTATAATTCCTGTCTACAAGTATACAATATCAAACTTTCTCCAGGGAAAGCAGCTCTGAGAGTTACACTGGA